CGCAAAAAGTTCGGTGGACCTGGTACCTTTAGATTGCGTTGTCAACGGGGAGGTGTTATGGTGTAAGGTTAAAGTTCAAGGCAACGTGTTTGTTGTTGGTGCTGTATATAGGCCACCAAACACCGCCCCGAGGTTTTTAGAAGAATTGTATGATTACATGGCGTTGCGCTTCAATGACAAAACTAAAATTATTTTGACTGGAGACTTCAATCTTGCTGATATTGATTGGGCAAAGCAAAAACCAGGTAAAAATGAAATCGCGTCCTCCGAGCTTTTGTTAGATATAGCACTCAGTTTTAATCTTCAACAGTTAGTGGACAGCCCGACAAGAGTAACAGATACGAGCCAATCGATTCTGGACTTACTTTTTGTTAGCAACATAGTGGAAGCGGATAAAGCACATGTGCTCGACGGAGTGTCAGATCATAAAATGGTGTTTCTTGACTTAGAACTACATAAAACAGCTGCCGATAATGCTCGTCACGAACGTACTGTCAGAGATTTTCAAAATGCTGATGATGTGTCCATCCTCGATTATTTAGATGAACATTTTGACCATTTTAGTCAGTTAAGTGATGTTACCGAATTATGGAAAACATTTAAGAGTATTGTTTCCTACTGTACATATCACTTTGTTCCGACAAGGGGCGTGAGAGCACAACGACATCACCCATGGGTAACAAGAGAAATTTTGCAAATAAAGCGAAAGATCAAGCGCAAAAGGAAAGCAAAACAAAATTCCTCAGACATTGCAAATTTGGGGCGACAATTGAAGAATCTTATTTCCCAAGCTAGGGAAAATTACTGTGGCAATGTGCTCTCTCGTTTCTTGCTGGAATCTCCGCAAAAATTCTGGCGGTTTTTCTCTTCGAAAAAAGAAGTAATAACAGAAGTGATGGTAAGCGATGAGGTTGTATCATGTCCCATTAAAGTGGCAGAGGAATTTAACACGTATTTTCAGTCAGTCTTTACAGTCTCGAGTGACCCGCCGGTAGACCACGTCAGCAGCTCTGATGAACCTTGTATGTCAGATTTCGTTGTCTCGGAAAGTGGTATACTTAATTTGCTTTTGAATATTGATGTAAAAAAGGCATCGGGGCCAGACGACATTTCAAATGCATTTCTGAAAAGATATGCTGAGTGGGTGTCCCGATATCTTTTCATAATATTTCAAGCCTCTCTCCAACAATCCAAATTGCCAGCAGACTGGTTGTGTGGTAAAATTTTACCCATTCACAAATCTGGAAACAAAATGACAGTCCAAAATTACCGTCCTATATCATTAACGTCGACTTGCTGCAAACTGCTGGAACGCATTATTTCAAATCATGTCACTCAGTACTTAGAAGAAAACAACTTAATATACAAACATCAGCACGGTTTTAGACGGGGTCTATCGACGGTCACACAATTAATTGAGTGTGCGCATGAGTTCTCATCTGTTGTAAATGAGCGGGGTCAGGTTGACGTTGTGTTCATGGATTTTTCAAAAGCGTTCGACCGCGTGCCTCATAACAAATTAATTGAAAAGCTTCACCTTGTGGGTCTAAACAGCAATATAGTGTCGTGGGTCCGGTCTTACCTAACTAACAGAACACAGTATGTCTACTGCAATGATGCATGCTCTACCCGCCTTGCAGTGTTTTCAGGTGTGCCACAAGGGTCGGTATTAGGTCCACTTTTGTTTTTACTGTATATAAATGATATTGCAGATGATATGCCGCCAGCTGTCCAGGTAAAGCTATTTGCGGATGACTGCATGTTGTTTTCAAAAGTGCGTACAGTCGAAGACCAAGACTTGCTTAATGCCTCTCTAGAAAAACTTTACTTGTGGTGTGAAAGGTGGGGTATGGTAATTAACTTTGATAAAACAGTATTCTGCAGCATTACAAACAAACGAAACATTTTAGAACATTCCTATAACATAGGTGGCGTGCAACTGCGAAAGGTGGACGAATTTAAATATTTAGGTGTTATTTTTAGTTCTACCATGCGATGGAACAGTCATGTAGATTACGTTTGTTCAAAGGCCTACAAAAAGTTATTATTCCTCAGAAGACAACTTAGGCATGCCAATAGTGATGTTCGACAACTTGCGTACATGTGTTATGTTCGCCCATTGTTAGAATATGCATGCACTGTATGGGACCCGTATAGAAAATGCCACGAATCACAAATTGAAAGAATACAAAATCTGGCTCTTCGATTTATCTTCTCCAGATATAAACGTACAGAATCTGTTTCTTCAATGAGACAAGAGGCGCAGCTTGACTCGCTGGCAAAGCGACGGAAAATATCAAGGTTAAAAGAACTCTTTTCCATAATGACTGGAATGACAAAGCTAGATCCGCAGCTTTGCTTGCGGCCTTCAACGTCTCGTTCCCAAAGGACTAGCAACGTCAGGGCGATTGCTCCGTATCAATACGAAAATGATGTATTTAAGTATTCTTTCTTTTGTAGGACAATAGTAGAGTGGAACGCTCTGCCAAACGAAGTCGTCAGCTGCTCTAATCTCAAGTCATTTGAATTATCATTGCGCGAATTTTTAACTGAATAATGTATGTGTGCGGAATACATCTTCAGATGTGCAGGGTGTGACGCACCACTGCATGTGCATAAGTGCTCACTTGAGTGTGAATGCATTTTGCTTGGCTTGTATAACTTATTTTTCTCTCCTGTGTTGACCGTAAGGTTCACAGTATTGTAAATAAATAAAATAAATAAAAAGCTGATCCTCTAGACTCTAGAGTAATAACTCTATGGTTGAAACAGGCGTGTCAAAAAATAAATTTCACGCGAAAAAGTTTTTATTTTTTAGCAATATTGACGGCTTTAGATTTACTTTAAACTCTGCGCGCAAAGTCCATGACGTCACGGAACGGTCATATACTCTTTCCACTTCAACGAGGTGGTCATGCACTATCTCCACCGTGACGTGATGGGTAAGCCGAGCCACCTCTTCTCCACGCGCCCGAAATGCCGAGAGAATAAACAAGCGGAAAGGAGGTAACTACATCGCCTCTCGCGCCGTCAATATTGCTCTACATTTTTTTTCGCGTAAAATTATTTTTAGAGCGCAGCTCTTAGGTGGCCGTTTGCGGCTTGAGCGGAGTCGCCGTCGCCGTCGCTGTCGAAGGAACCCGAAGGAACCCGAGGTCGTCCCGAAGGAACCCGAGGTCCTTCGGTAGGACCTCGGGAGGACCTCGGGTTCCTTCGGGAGTTGCATGCAACCTGTTGCATGCAACTCCCGAAGGCGTCGCCGTCGGCGTAACCGCGCGGTGCATTATGGGTTAATTTTTCCGAAGGGATCCGAGGACTCCCGAAGGAGCCCGAGGTCGTCCCGAAGGAACCCGAGGTCCTTCGGGAGGACCTCGGGTCTCTTCGGGAGGACCTTGGGTTTTTTCGGTAGGACCTCGGGAGGACTTCGGGTTCCTTCGGGAGGACCTCGGGTTCCTTCGAGAGGACCTCGGGTTCCTTCGGGAGTTGCATGCAACCTGTTGCATGCAACTGGCATACAACGAGTTGTATGCAATCTGTTGCATGCAATCCAGGTTGCATGCAACCTGAGGACGTCATCGTCATCCGCATCGTCATCGTCATCATCACTGATGACGTCATCAGTGACGTCACTGATGACGTCATTGGAATCCGCATCGTCATCAACATCATCACTGATGCCGTCATTGACATGCGCATCGTCATCGTCATCATCACTGATGACGTCATCAGTGACGTCACTGATGATGTCATCAAATCGTCATCGTCAAGGTCACGTGACCCCTAAGGTCACGTGGCCCCTGAGGACACATGACCCCCTAAGGTCACGTGACCCCACTGAGGTCACGTGACTCCCTGGAGTCACGTGAACCCCCTGAGGTCACGTGAACCCCCTGAGGTCACGTGACCCCCTGAGGTCATGTGATTCTCCTGAGGTAACATGACCCTCTGAGGTCACGTGACCCCCCTCCCCCGAGGTCACATGACCCCCTTGACGTCACCCGACCTCCCATGAGGTCACGTGACCTTAAGGAGTCACCTGTCCCTCAGTACGCTTCCATCCTCCTCAAGAGCTGCGCTCCAACCGGCGTTACAGGGAATTGTAAACGGCTTTCATTTTTTGTAGACTGTTAAAAAATATATTTTTTCTTTTCAGTGTTTTTTTATGTTGAAACGGCGGTCAATGCCCCAATCACGAGAGCTCGAGGTCTTTGATTTGAAGCGTTCTTCCGCAGAACGATCGCTCGCGCTAGAAACGCACGTCTCAAAACAAGCAGCGCGTGCTAGCTCGCTCTTGTAGCTTTGACTGCAGTGTCAACTTAAAGGGGCCATGCAACGATATTCGCTTGAAATGTTTTTCACTTTACACGAGCTTACTGGCACTAGTGGGACCCAAGTATCCTCGCAGGCAACGCCACTCACCAAAACACTCCACTGTTGCGTTGTAATTTCAAAGACAAAAAAGCGAGCGTTATCCTTCAATTTCTCCTTCGCAAAACTGGATGACGTACCTGTGGAGTCGCAGCATCCCCCAGTGACGGTATTTGAATACGGCTCATAGGCTGACCCGAGCATTGCGTGAGCACTCGACTGGGGTTCGTGATAATCTATAGCTCGACAAGCATTCGCGTAGTGTCCAATCGCTGCAATGACGACAATTACCGAACCCTAACAATGCCTTAAACTCGGAGCGTGTCCTGTGCTTTGCCAACCCCTCGCGTAAATATAATTAACATTGGCGCCATATAATTATCTCCAGATCACGTGGCCGAGGCTTCTTTTGGCTGCAAGGTGAGGGGCTGAACGCTTCTCGGTTTTTTATAATGTTTTCCGCGACTTCCATTGCGTGTGGTGAACAACGAACGCGTGTTTTAAAAGTCATTAACGTCAGGTATTCGTTCTAAGCGGTATTTGCGCAAGGTGAAAATATCATTGCATCGCCCCTCTATGGGTGAACAGAGTATAACACTGCTGTTCATCGAGAAACAATCGAAACGCGTTACTCGGGTATGGGTGGTGCTTCGAAAGATCCCGAAGTTAGCGTCTGGTTGAAATCCATACAGCCAGTAGTTGAAGTCGGCAGTCCGTAAGATGCCCGGGGGTATGATATGGAGCCCAGGGCGTGCCACGAAGCCAGGAACAGTCCAACCATGGCGCCTGCCGTCACGCCCTGGAAGCGAGAGATGTTCATTAATTTTGATGGACACGTGTAGTTTTGTGTGTAATTGTGTCGCATGTTCGTTTAGGCCACTGGAACTTGGGTGTTCGTTTGGGACATCAGAAAGGAACACGTGTTTGATAATTCACGGGGACCCTTTATGTAATCGGTGTACTAGGTTTTTCTCGTACACCTGAACACTCCTTGGTCCAAGTAAAGATTATTAGTTTCAGACGAGAATGGGAGTGTTAAAGGGGTACGGAAACCAAATTCTGGTGATCATCTCTTTGCTCAACATGAACCGGGTTAAAGTTAGACTTTACCAATATCAATGTTACATATGATAAAGCAAGATCATGCATTTTAGATTTAATAAAACGGTAACTAAAAACCACCTCGTGCACGTCTGTGAAGCTTCGATGGAATGTCGTGACCCTATTGAAAAAAATTATATGAATATATATAAGAACTGATATGAAATATCCAAAAACTGATATGCGACATACTATACTGATACGAAATATAAAAAAAAAACTTACATGCGATATACGAAACTGATATGAAACACCCCAAAAACTGATATGCGACATATAAGAACTGATGTGCAACATATGCCAACTGATATGAATGTGTCCAATAAACATATCAAAAATAAATTCATGTAGTTTATTTTCAGTATACGACGTGCCGAGCGGGAAAGCAAACACGTGGCTTGGAACCGCAGTGGAGCGGCTTGATTTACTGGCTTTCAAATAATTACGGCATGAGCGCGTTTACTTTTTATTAAGAGATTCATCCCCTGAGCCGTTCAAAATACTCCCAGAGGTATGACATTACTGAAAAAAATCGAACATGCTGAGAATATTATTGATTGCTTAGGTGATCACCGAAAAACTCCGTACTTACAAAACGACCTGTATAAAAGGCGGAAACGCAGAGCTCAGTAGTTATTGGGTGTGCTGTTGTATTCATGTTTGTTGTGCCGTGTATGTGTATGCTCTCAATGTATATGTTCAGCTGATGCTAGTTGTATGCGTACCGTATCTACATACTTAAAAGGTTAAAACAGCGCAAAAAACGACAGACAGGGTAAAAAAGGACACGGACAGAGCGCTGCTCTGTCCGTGTCCTTCTTATATCTACATGATTGCGTCAGAAAATAAAAATATTTTTTGTAGCACATGATTGGGCGGTACCTAGCGCCACCTAGCCTAGTGTAACTGATAATGCGGCATTTGAGACTGATATGAAATAATAAGTTCTGGTATGAAAAAGGTGTCCAATAAGCATATCAGAAATAAATTCATATAATATTTTTCAGTAGGGAACATCATGTCAGTAAGAGCAGCACCACAACAAGAAGTACGCTCACTTCGATGGCTGATTTTCAAGCACTCATCAAAATCCCGTCATTTAGAACCAAAACTCTAGTCATCCCCTTAAAAGACAACTATCCGATTATCAATTACAGGTTTAGCAGATCGTATTCGATTCATTTCTTTATATTTCTTGTACATTTTAAGTTTCGATTCAGTATCCATTTAAAGGGGTTGTCCGGCGCTTTTTTGAGCTACCCCAACTAACCTTTTTTTTCAGAATCGCCAGTCTTTAGCCTTTAAGGTATGCTATGTAGTATGACGCAATTCGGAATAGGTATTGTGCAGTCGGCAAGTGAAAATGATGCCAAAACCAACATTCAAATATACCTGCACAAAGGCATTCCGGAACGCGTTCCTTTTAGGAGGAAAGAAGGAACCGTTCCATTTTGCATCGGTGGAACTGGAACGAGAACTCGTTACATTTTTACTGGAATGAAAAAAGGAACTGTGTCCTTTTTTTTTTGTCCAGTGGGGTAGTTTATTTTATTTTTAAAAAGGACATTCCAAAAGTATAAAAAATAGTTTTACGGAGAGCAAGATCTCGTTAACTTTTTGGTTACTTATCTTACGGTTTATTTCATGTGGTTCTTGCTTGGTAAACGTCGGGTGGAGGAGAGCTAGTGAACATTGATTCTCTTTTGGGTGCCAGAGACTGCAGTTCAAAAAGCGGAACATTTAGTTGATGGAAAAGACACAGAAAGAGAGGTGTTTCAAACTCAGCTGCTTTCTTTGCTTCCACGAATCCTCATACACCCAGAAATCTAAGGCCGACTGCAGCCATCATTAAACTTCCAAAACGAGACGTACAGTTACAACAAAATAACATGTTGCCAGACATAAAACGCGCCCTTGTATTCTGAACATTTGTCACTTAAATAATGCGCAAGAATTAACCTCGATTCCTTCTCCTTTTGTCCCTCACCTTCAAACTGAACAGCGAATCCAACCTTTACGAAGAAGGACTTGTAGTTTTCAAGGCTGACGTTCCAAAAGCCCTACCCTCGTCTTCACTTGTTCATCTTGCGGACAACAACGTCGAGAAGCAACTGTTATTAAGCTCCAACAAGAAACTTTTTTAGATCGAAACATGTGAGGTTGTAAGCGCTCGTGCAATGTGGGGTAACAGCAGTGTTACCCCACGGGGAAGATCAAAATTGCGCATTGAATACCTTCGCAAGAAACATACTTGGCCCAATATTTGGAGTACTATTTCAGCGATGTTTGTTAGCGCGTTTAGCACATTTAAGAAAAAAATCGTGAAATATAAAAAAAAAAGAAAACAACGCCAGAGTAGCTCTGTAAAGACCGACAAGGGCTCCGCGGGTGGGTCGTTAGAACCACAGGGACTTGGCTGGTGGGAAGGCGCTGGCGTAACTGCTTCCCGTGATGGGCGACCTCGAGAGACAGGCGTACTTTATGACTCGAGGTTTGGAACGCGCGTTTTCTGCCGAAAGCATCGAACGTGCGTTTCGGACCGGGAGAACCCGGTGTTTCTAGCTGGCACCGTTTACATCGGTGTAGTCTTTCTCGCCCGCGTGATGGGGTTCACGGCAGAATGGCAACGTTAGACCGCGTCTGGCAGAATGAATGACGGGATAACTCAGTTGGTCGGCGCTATCCACACCGGGGTCAGCTGTCTGACTCGTCTGATGTAGTGTGCTTATATCCGAACCCGCCTGGCCTTTGGCGGTGAGATATACGCAGACCGCGGGGTCTCACGGTGAGCCGATTGGTTGTGGCCTTTCGGCCAGTGGGAAACGCCTGTCCGACAACACGTCCAGGATTCTCGGGTCCATTAAAAGCGGATGGGCCGACGAGCGATTTTGAGGGGAAGCGCAGCAAGTGATTTGAGTTTTCGTTAGAGCTCGAGAGCTAAAGCTCCGGAATCGTGGCAGGTCGTGGTAATCCGAGGGACTTTTGTGCCCGTAATTCGGACGTAATCCCACGAGCCAGCGAACTCCCGAGCTTGGATAAGCTAACACCCGAGCACCTCCTTCCCAACCCCGTATGGGGGAAGTTACCCTTTTGCGGTATTGTTTCGTTTATGTATTTTCATTCGCTACAAAAGTACGAGATTGTTTATGGAAAAGTAAGTACAAGTTCAGCTGAATTAGTCGTCGACGGCCAAAGGAAGCTACTTCGTCTCTGGCAAGACCCACCAAGCTTCCCACAACGAAGCTCGTCACCCCATCCGGACCTGATAGCCCGGATGGGGACAAAGACATATTGTGCTGAATTTTAAGAGATATACATATATGTGCCATGTGTCATAGTTACAGCGTGACTCTGGAACATATGGTTTGGAAGTGTTGGGGGCTTCGCCTTCTCTCCCTAAAAGAATACCGAATTTGGCGGGAGCGTTGGGATTTACTGGAGACGATGAAAGAACGGAGGAGTCAAGGATTACAATCATAAAAAGGTGGTTTGTAGATTGGTAGAGAAGGTCAAGAGAAGCGTGATGACATGCCAAATCGGTGGGTAAATGATTGAAAAACAGGCGGAATTTATAGCAAGATTTAAAGCGGAGGGGTGTAAACGTTTCGAGGCTCGTTGGCTCAAGCTACGGCCTATAGCACCCATCCATCAGTACAAACGATAGGAGACATACGCTTGATGAAAGCTGAAAAGAAGCGACGACCCACTGAGCTCAGCTTGTTCGCCGTGTCAATGATCGACGCCGGAGAAGGTTGAAGAGCGTTCTTGCTAGGGATAGACAAGCAAAGGAGGCTCTTTCTGCCACGACCAATGGTAGGGTGTGGGAACCAGATGCGTCTCAATTTAGTCAGCGAAATAGACATATGTCCTTCACAGAAGCAACATAAAAAAGCTAAAAGATTTCGACGTAATCCGCTGCAAAGCACTGCAGACACATCCCCGTTTTTTTTTTTTCTTCTGTCTCGTGCCCATCTTTAGTGCAATTGGGCATGTTAAATAAAAAGCTCAGGGAAAAGCCTCAATGTCCGCACTTTTATCTTTTATTTCAAGATAGCTTCGGAAAAGAACATCCAAACTTCGGGGAGAAAACATCATCAATACTTTTTTTTTAATTTGTGATGATTATGGGAGGATCCTCTTTAATGAGAATGATAGTCAACTTCCTTTGGACCTCCTGGTGTGGGGGTGGGCGCGTCCTGGTCCGGATGGCGACGACCGATGATGGTGCTCGCCGAATGACAGCCCCCGGGAAGTTGATAATAATAAAAAAAAAATACTAAAAGTTGTTCGATCCCGCTGAACACATTGCGACGTTGGTTGGCTGTACAGTGGCCAGTGTGGCCACGTTTATTATGAAACAAAACAACTCAGCAGTGAAATAAAATCCCAAAATTAAACCTTGTACTTTTGCTCCCAGTCTCCCAAAATCGAATCGAAGCCAATCCTCCAGAATCCTCTCGGGGATCCTTTTGTAGACCCGTAGGGGCCTCCTTTCCCCTCAAGGACCGACCAATCCCTTCGAATTTCACTCCTCCCACGTGGTACACTGTTCTCCAATGGTCGGTGAGCTGTCAGCCTGGCGCTTTAACCGCCAAATCCAAATTCTTTCTAGAGTCAACCCCTGCATTTTATGCAGACTCGCTGGCGCCAACAGCTAAATTATTACATCGGGTAAAAAGTGACAATTTTACACTAAGCGGCAAAACCCTCTATATACAGGCACATTCGGCTAAAAGCTACAGGCATCTCCAAGCGCGGGCTCTTTCGGTCCCGGTCCGAGCAGACTCCCAATACCCGAGACTAGGGTGCCTACATGTTTCCGCCGCTCCGCTGTTTAGGGTGGCGACAACGTTTGTGGTACCTGTTGCCGACAAACCAGTGTTGCCTACCTCCTTACCATGGCAACCTCCGCTGTTTTCGTCGACCATTTTGTCACACTCGCCGGTCGTGCGCTCGGACTACGCCGCTAATCCTCGTTAGGGCTAGGGAGCGCTCACCGCTCCCGTTCCGACGGCGAGGGTTCGGCGTTCAATGCCGGTCTGTGGCGTTCCATTTTGTCGCGGGGACTCGCGTTTCGATAAAAGCAACGCACACTTCCTGCTCGCAACTTCAAAATATGAAGCATCCGAATAAAGAGAGCGACAGCCACAAGTGCCGCCATCCCGCTGAGCCTCCGATTCCTCTTATGAACGGACACGGAAGTGGCCTCACAGTGTTGCCGGTGTGCCGAGACTACAGAAACTCAACGTTGTGTACGTTTAGCGAACTAAGATGTGGGAAAAAATGGAGGTGGGAGAGGATCTGGGAAAGGGAAACAAGAAGTTGGCGCCACCCTAAAACGGAGCGAAAACATGTAGGCACCCTACCCGAGGCGGGTACTGATTCGTCTGGCGTCGCACTCCGCTCGAGGAAGAGGAGGAAAGAAAGAGGGAGAGGAGGATCGGAGAGGAGGGAAGAAGGAAGGGGAGGAGGAATAGAGAGAGAGAAGAGGGGGTGAGAAGAAAACTGGGAAGGGGCCCCCGGAAAATTTGTTGGAAAAAAAAAAAAGAAGGGGAGTTGAGGTCGGAAAAGTCCCCCGGCGATTTTTTTTTTGTAGTTTGTTGTGGGGGAAGCAGACGACGACTTTCAGAAGCACAGAAGCAATGAGCGTGCGCTCTTCACATTGCGGCTATTTCTCAGGTTTTCAAGAACGTACTAGATTAATGGTTTTGATTTCGTATTCGTGAATTATAGGTTTTTTGCGAAACTGGGTCAATCCCGGGTAAAATTGGTTTCCCAAACTTATCTTAAAGGGATTGTTCGTATTCTGCTGACAACTCGCCACGTTGCGCTGTTAGCATTTGGAATCTGGATTGTATTTCACAACGTGAATTATAGTTTTTTTTTGGGACTGGGTCAATTCCCGGGTAAAAATTTGTATCCCAAACTTATGTGAAAGGGACTGTCCCTATTCCGCTCACCAATCGCCACGGTGCGCTGAGCCGAGGGTATTAAATATATTAACCCAATTAATTATCTGTAAAAGCGACCGTGTTTAGTCAAACATCCAGAAACAGAGTTTTTAAATATGCTAGAACGCCCTAAGCACGTGAAAAGAAGATATCTCATTCCAAATCGTCTGCTTCCCCACAGCAAAGTACCCACAAAAAATCGCCGGGGGACGTCTCCAACGGCTTCTTAACGACCGCGGGGGAAGCGCTGCCGCATTGCGGCCGCTCTGGCCCCGCCGACACAAACATAAGAGGTTAAAAAAAAAAAAAACAATGCCGAAGAAACTGTGGAAAGATAAACTTTCCTAACAAAAATCACCTTAACTAATAAGCAGGATTTCTACAAACTTAACAGTGATACTCATATTAAATAATGAATAAAGCGAGAAAATGAAAACAAGCTACCTTTTTCTTGCAGATGGGGAAGAAGACTCCGAGGAAGAAGATGGCGAGAAGCGGTCCTAGCATTGCGCCTACGAGACTGTTCGCTGCCTGGGACGTGCAAAGGGACGTCCCGAAAGGGTATATGAAGTATTTGGCAGTTAGAAACATTCGTAACATCCTACAAGGTGTTCGTTTGTGAGGCATACAAAACAAATGCTTAAAGCTGCAAATTTGGATATATTTGGAAACAGAAAATGGTTATGGCCGGTTTTCACTGTTTACTCTCGACTCGCATACAGTTTTTTTATTTAAGTATTCTTGATGGTCGCCTTTTGACTTTAGATTAATGAGTGTGATGAGCAAGTTTTTATCTCAATAAACCGACCAAATAACTTATTACAACATATTTGTTTTTACGATGAGTCATATAATGCATATAATAATGTTTAGACACGCTGAAGATATTCAAATAAACTTTAGTATTAAAAACACAATTTCGCGAACATATACTCTTGGAATCTGCACGTTCCTGGTTGGCTGTACAATGCATGGTGGTAATTGCCTACATACTTGATATGAATGTGGCAATCAAACCTTAGCTTACACAAATGCAGTGTGGAGCTAAGTTAAGCTTGATTCTATCGTGCAGTATCAATAAATTATTTTTTTTGTCCGGAAACCGTACGCTAGCGTATTTAGAAAGCACAGGAGACTGGAAAAATAACTATTAATAATTGGTTTCAATTTCACTGAATACCTGTGCTACCTGTTTGATTGAACGCGAGTTTTATAAGGTACCTAATAATTTCAATGAAAATAAACGATTTAAGTATTGGGCATCCCATTTACTTCATTTGTTTTACCTTGCACGAAGAAAAATTTTAAATTTCATAGGTCAACGGCTTAGGCAGCGGCTTTGAGCACAGTATGCCTGTTTATTTTGTAGCTAACGTTACAGAAAAAGGTTTAGAATTAGGACGGCGAAAAACGAACGCTTTGTCATCTTGCGAAGTGACAAAAATGCAACCTTGCCTATACGGTGAAAGTTTGGTGCTCGTGATGTGCGACGATTTTTTTATTTTTTATTCTTTAGTTATTTCAATTGCTCCGCTACAAAGTTCGGACATACGACATTTCAGTTTGCAGGTTCGAATTTCTGAGATAAACTAGATTGAAGATAGGGTCCATTGGCGGACGCCTGCTGCGAAGATTGGTCGCAAGTGCGCATGCGCCGCGTTGTGGCGTGGCGAGGAGGAAGGCAGGCGGAAAGGCGCAGGCGCTTGCAGACGATCAACGCTTTTCCCCCAGCTCGTTCTGCATGACGCGGCCCATAAACCAGGTGATCCCGATCGAGCAGTTGAAAACGCTGTAATATAGACTCTCTAAAATCCTCCGACGAGTTTCGCGCCATCTGGCGACGGCTTACTGCATGTAGGAACTGTGTAGCAGAGATTTCGGCAACACTGGGAACAAACTGAAGCGAACTCTATAAACAAGTTAAAAAAAAACACAGACATAAAAGGCAGCGCGCCAGAGGCGCAACGAAGTTTGTGACCTTCCGGTATGCTTATCCTTCCACTCGCGCATCTACCACGTGCCACTGAAGAAAGAGAGAGAGATAGAGAGGGAGAAGGAGAGGTGGCACAGTCATGAGGTGGGTGCCCGGTCGTCTGGGTTGTCTCCGTCGATTCCAGGGCCGCCCCTGGTCGCCCTGTCGTCTACTGTAGTTCGTTGCAACTCATAAAGGTAGGCGAAAGAAAGGAAGGCAGGAGAAGAGGAAGTAGACAGAACGCTGGAGAAGAAAGGGAAAAACCCCATCATCTCTTTAGTGTTTTTCATTTGCCTCTTCCTCCCCGGCCTTCCCTTCCCTCGCCCTACCCTCTTGAGTTCCAACAAACTATAGAGCCGGCGACACGTTAAGAGTCCAGCGGCCAGCTCCTCAAACCTCTTTTAACTTTAGCAGAGTATAGACACTGGACAGGAGCTGACCTCCTCTCCAGCGTTCGCCCTGCTGAAATGAAGAGAGGTGCAAAGAGTTTCCCCTGCATTTTCAGCATGTCACTGACGATAAGTAGTCACTGGGGACCATAATTGTGGGTGCTGTCAAGAGCGCATGCTCAGAACGAGCCCACATTAATAGGCTGCTAAGACCGGCAATATTGAGAAAGCGGAATGCACGTTACAAAAGAACTTTGGAAGGTCTCCATGAGCACGCGCTCAGCAGTCGCGCACAAAGCTATGGCCGCCAGTGAATACTACCTATAGGGCCGGTTATATACAGTCAGTTCCCAGGATGCTTTTTGGCGCTTGTGCACATTGGCAACATATCTCAGTTATCTTCCAGGGAAACAACGGACCTGCCAAAAGCACTTCGTTCTTTTAGGAGGCAGGCACTTAAGGTTTTTTTTTTGTCAATTTTGATGTACGCGTATTTCATTTCTTACAAGAAGTACCAACCTGAATTATGGATGGCAAATTTCCCGACAGAAATGCGATTGATATGGACAAGAGACCGTAGGCGGCAGCTGGCGCGTAACCAGGAGAAATGGGAGGAAAACAAACAATTACAAGAACAAACTGGCAAACTTCCGTCAGAGCGCAAAAAAAAAAAAAAAAAAAAAAAAAAAAACGACGCCAGGGTGCATGAAAAAGAACTCCGAGCTTATCGTCTTCTTTTGCAATATCGTGCGAAATCCCCGAAACTCTTGGGCACGCTCAGATATAAATTCAAGTTCAAACATTTTACAGCGTTTAAAATACTGAAACCTGTTCTGCATCTGCGAAAATAATAGATTTGGATAATATCCCGACCTAGTTACACAAGCTGTCACAATAGGAACAGCCTACATTTGAGTCAATTTGGCATTTTTACAGTAGTGCTCCCCTTCAGTTCGAAAAACACTGGTTAACCTCACGACGGTTTTTAACCTTCGGAGCCGACGCAGCAGTTGCCGTAGCAAACCGTAAAAGGATTATCCAGGAGACACATGCGTGACAAAGCTATCCGATCCGCTGTGCGAACCATCGGAGAAATGGCTGCTCAGACTCGCCGCACCCGACATTTCGAAACATATAATTCCGACGCGTCGTTTCATTCGGCTCCGCCCAGTTCCGGGTATCCGTTAACGGGCGGTAGCTTGCGCCACCTAGATTAGAAACAAAAAATATAATTCATGCCCTTGCCATTCGTGGTTTTTCTGACTTCAAAACAAACATGTTTTTATTATTTTCTCTTAAAGTGTACAGGTCTGAAGATTTTACGTACAGCTGCTTTTTTTGCTCAACATCACTTGACAATGGACTGGGCGGACCTTAGGAGCCATCCCAGCGAAGCGAGCACTGCGTGCAAATCTGAGTCCGGACATTTTATTGAAAACGGTTTCATCGAAGCCGTTTCATCGAACGCCATTTCATCGAAAGCCAATCCATCGAACGCCGTTTCATTGGAGTCGTTTATCGAACACCGCCTAGTTAAGCCTTCAAAATTTCTGATCTAGGAATCAAACCCAAAGAATAGTCGGCTTTCCTTTTCCTACATAAAGGAAAGTAATAATACGAAACTTTATTCTCTCGGCTACACTTCTTTTTCTCCAAAGTAGCGAATGGCTTGCGCTGCTAATGTAGCCAATAATAAAGGGGAACGCCTCCGTGACTTTTTATGAAACCTATGATTATCCGGTGCAGTGTTGAAGGTTTGTCCCTTGAAGTGCGTATATACGTTCTTGGAGAGACGTATTCTGTTCCAAGCATAAAGCCGTCCTGGAAGCACTGACATATATCCATGTCGCGTGAAACAGAATAAAAAGGCGTGTCCTTCTTCTTCGCTAGTTCGTCATCGGCAGAACCGTGGACTCAACCGCTTTTCAACCTTTGTTCTTAGAAATAAAGCTATAAATTGTCGTAGGATAGAATGAAAACTCAAGGAAATAAATAAATATAAAAGGCGCAGAGCAGAATACTTATGGTCTTTTCCGGATCTACCTTTTACGCATAAACAAATAGGAAATAAACTATGTGGTGGAGTACAGCCGTTTGTTTATATTACCTGAAAACATAAAACCCCAATTACTGAGCACTTAAGTTTTGTTATGTCTTATGATTTCGTAACGAAAGTTTTGGTGAAACAGTGACCAGGGTAGTAATTTTATTTCTGGTTATTCGACAGCAGAGTGAAAACAACTCAGAAGGGCGAGTGAATAGTCTAAAACGCACTATAATGCTTCAAAATTCGGTGAAGTAAAATTCGATGAAACGGCGTCAACCGACTCGATGAAAGGGAGTTCGATGAAAGGGAGGTCGATGAATCGGCGTTCGATGAAAGGTCCTCTTTCTTGATGAAGTGGCGATCAATAAATAACACAGACCTTTTGCTAAAAAAATAGACTTATTGCTAAATTACCCAAGCATCAAGGAGAATGCAAGGATTGGTGTTCCACGCGCCACACGCGCTGGGCTCAGGAGTAGTGACTGTTCTGAAGTAAATGCCTAAAACAAATCTCAAACAACAAAAAAACAAAAAACAAACTTCGAATCTTTTATACAGGGAAGGCGTGCGCGTGTGGCGGCGTGGAACACCAATCCCTGCATTCTCCTTTATGTTCTTATAATTTAGCAACAGGTCTATAGGGCTATTGTCAGTGCACGATCATTTTATTCTACCGATAAAACATAAACAAAATGAAGATAAAAAAAAAAAAAAATGTGTTGGCTTTTTTTTTTTTTGTGACTTAATTTTGGTTACATGTTGCCGTCTGCTTTGCACTCTCTGATTGTTACCGCGCCTTCTTTCTTGTCCGCAACTTTCTTCCGTGCTGTTTCTGAGGTCATAGTGCGCTTAGCTCTAAACGAGAAAGTGAAGGTTGTGGGGTGATTTCAGATAAGATCGACCAAAGGGTGGCTGGTCGACATTTTTAAATGAACTGATGTTTTTATATGACATTGTCTAGTGTCTGCTATAAACGAATCCACACTTAGTTTTGACCAGAAAAAAAATTTGGAGACAAGAAAAATCGTAAGGCAGGGAGAGGTGGACAGTTGCAATAACGCGCACTGATGGAGGGGGCAAGTTTGAAAGTGAATAATTAAAACAATAAAATTAGAAGAATTTTAAAACTTTTTACAAACAAACTATGGGTACAACTTGCTTGTAATATAAAGTAATAATATTTATTAAAAATTTATTTAGTTTTCTAAAAATTGCCAAACATGCCTGCTCGAACGACAAATAGCAAATTTTGGAAATCTGTATCTCATGAAATAATTTAATCATTATTACATAACTTGCAGACATTATTTTGCTAATATATGGCTATTATTGAAAAAATAAATAAGGTATCTGAGTGACACAATAGTTACAATATATTTAGGCAAACATGGGAAAAAAATCAAAGAAAAATTCCAATGCGAATAAAAAAAAACACCACCTTCGATTTTTTTTTAAATTTGGGTACCCTGTTATACTCTATTTCGGCATTCATTTCTATTAAAAACATGTTGTATCATTGCACTGTGAAAGAAGAAACAACTCCCCAAAGTAGGGTCCTTTTTCAAAGCCTACACTTAGCAGTGTCCTATACAAGAAGTGACTCTGAGTTCCAGTTTTATGAAACTTGCACAAATCTTTTATATACATTTATTCAGATGAGGTCATTGATAAAAAGAGCGATCGGTCACACAGTAAAAGGGAGGAGAAACTATATACAGCATTTTACATAAGCGTACAAAGTGGTATCATATAAGAGACTAATGATTTGGGAAAAGATGATGCAGTGTGAAGTTGTACCTTCCGGTATATTTTACATCTAGAGTAAAATAAATGACTTTACTTCCACACACAAAAACAAAGCTATAATAGTAAGATATTTAGGTTGGCTGTGTATTTACGATTACAAACAATTTCAGGTGACGGATGCCATAGTGCCTAACTGAAGCAGCTTCGATGCTCTCGGTGTATGAATGAATCGTGGCAAGCCGTTATATTTTATCCTCCTCGAGGATAACATTTTGGGATTTTTTTTATAGTGATCAGATAAAAATTATTAGTAACCACCAACAAAAACAGTAGGTTAAATACCCCGTGAAGAAAAATGTGATAAATAAGATGTCCCTGCATTCAAAAGGAGCAGTCCTTGGGAAATCAAATTCGGCACTTTACGCTAAGGTTTTCCTCGCTGTACCCATTTAATAAAGTTGCTTCCAAGCAGATCCGACTGTCCGTGCTACATATACGTCACAGGTCCCTTCTGTTGATGACTTGCTGAGCCGCCACGCGTGCCAAGACTGAATACCAGGGAAGGCGCGCACCGTCAGCCACTCTTCTTTTTTTTGTTCACGATACCGAACAACCTCATTTTCGTCCAGATATACAAGATGCACGCCTTTCAGTTTCTTTGATAGAACGCTCACCATTGTCCTGGCCGTCTGAATTGCGCTTACTGAACGTTCTCTCAGGTTGTTCAGCGTGGCCTGGTGCTTCACGAGTCCGCCAACTCCGTCACGTGCATTTTTCCCATGTCCAGATGCAGAAAATAACCACTGGGCTTGTGGGCAATCGTCCTTTGCAAATTGGTGAAGCTGGTAGCGATTCTTGAAATGACTGGCGGCGCCGTCACTTACGTACGTCACGTACGAGTATACCGCAACGTTGTCTTCAACCCACTCCTTCACTTTTTCTAGAGCCAAGCAAGCGTGAGCGGCGTCGTGACACAGGTCCTCGCTGATGATGGCAAAGCTGTTTGTAGATTTTCTTGTCGTCACTACACATGTAAATATCGAAACTTGTTTTTTTTTCAGTGATATGCTTGCACTTCGTCAGGAAGCACGATGGTCCAGTTTTCAGCAAAGTCAAAATGAAAGACAATGCTCCCGCGTTGCATGCACTGTTTTTCATCGTAGATCGCTTTACCTTGCGTTTGCCGGATAGGGTTGTGAAGTACCCAACTTTCAACCGTCACTTGGATGACTTTTAGGAAAGTCTCAGGTTCCAAAGTTTTTTTCACAAGGTCGCCGGACTCCCATGTTGCAAGCACAATCTCTTCATCCTCCGGGATATCAAGTTCCTGGAGTGTAAGAAACTGGCATTTTGGGCAGTGATCACAGTCTCCTTGAAGGCACAGTTCTGTTGCTGGGTCGCACAGAAATGCCGAGTTCATTTCACCAGTGTTGAATGTTGAGCCTGTAACGTTCTCTAGAGCGGCAATACAAAGATAATAATTGGCGCAGCGCACACAAACGCACACTTCCTGGTGTGGAATACATTGGACCCATCTAGGGCGCAACGAATAAAATTTCGTTAGCCCAACACCGGAATCGGGATGCTTGTCTTTGTATATACGGAAGGCCTCTCGTATTGAGCGTGTCATGAAGCGTTTTGGCACGAACGTTTTCTCTCCGTTGAGCATGACAGAGATGACGTCCTTCTGGTTGGGACTTTGTCGCGAACATTGTAGCTCGTCTTTCGTGAAGTACTCTAGGGCCGCAGACAGGTTCTCAGGGCTCACCTTGCACCTCGTGTAAGGATCCGGCT